CATATATAAATATATTTACATATGTACTTGCCTTTATTTAGACCTTTATAAATACCCTTTGCCTCCTAGTTCCTTCCTCTATTTCCTTTTACTTTCCTCTTGCCCCACTATCATGCTCAGCTTTCATTTGGGTTTCAGTAATTTGTCTTGGTTACATTACCCTTGTGCTCTGTTGCCCTGCTACCCATTTCTTCCCCCCCACCCCCACCCCCTTTTTAGTTGGCTACCACATATATCCCTGGATTTGGTCTGGCCTCTGCCATATTACCTGGTCCTCACCCCAGGAATGTTTGTATACAGTAGCTTTTTCCCTCTGCCGCCTTTGGTTACATTACCCTTGTGCTCTGTTGCCCTGCTACCCATTTCTTCCCCCCCACCCCCACCCCCTTTTTAGTTGGCTACCCCATATATCCCTGGATTTGGTCTGGCCCCTGCCATACTACCTGAACCTTACCCCTGGAGTGTTTGTATACAGTAGCTTTTTCCCTGTGCCCCTTTTGCATTTTTCTTTTCTTTTTTTTATAGACATACCTCAGCGGACTCATGCTGTACTTGTCCTTTTGTGCTTTGCTTACTTCACTTAGCATAATTTCCTCCAGTTCTTCCCATTTGGCGATGCTTCATGCGTTCATCACTACTTTTTAGTGGCGCATAGTACTCCATTGTATGCATGTTCCATAGTTTTGTAATCCATTCGTCTGCTGATGGAAATTTGGATTGTGTTCCAACTCCTTGCGATTGTGAACTGTGCCGCAATGAACATTGGAGCACAAATGTCTGGCTGTGGTTTGTTTCTTGCCTCTTCTGAATATATGCCCAGTAGGAGGATTGCTGGGTCGTGTGGTAGCTCAATTTCCATCTGTTTTAGAAATTGCCAAATTGATTTCCATAGTGGCTGTACATACCTGCAGGTCCACCAGCAGTGGATGAGAGTTCCTATCTCACCACAGCCCCTCCACCACTTATTGCTTTCTGATTTTTTGAATTCAGTTATCTTTGAGGGTGTTAGGTTGTATCTCATAGTTGTTTTAATTTGCATTTCTCTTATGGCTAAAGATTGGGAATATTTTCTCATGTTTATTGGCCATTCGGATTTCAGACTCTGTGAAACTTCTGTTCAGGTACTTTGCCCACCTCCTTAGTGGGCAGTTAGTTTTTCTCTTATTGTAAGCTTGCAGAGTATTGTAGATCTTAGTAATGAGGCCTTTGTCTGATGTGTCATTGCTAAAGATGTTTTCCCAGTCGGTGGGCTCTCTTATTACTCTCTTGGTGAATTCTTTCGATGTACACAGGTGACTTGTCTTCAGTATATCCCACTTGTCTATTTGTGACTCCTCTGTATTTGTAGCCTTCTTTATTTCTGATAGCCTATGTATTCCCTGTGCCAGGGTTCTCAGGTTTATCCTAATTCCCTCATTAATGCCCCTAATTGTTTGGGGTTTTATCTCAAGGTCTGTGATCCACCTTGAGTTTTTTCTTGTGCATGGAGTGAGGTTAGGGTCTTGCTTCATATTTTTTGCAGTTAGATATCCATTTTTTCCAGCACCATTTATTGAAGAGGGCATCTGCTTCCCATTTAATATTTTTGGGGCCTTTATCAAATATCAATTGCCTGTGTGCTGATGTTTTTATTCTGGGTCTTCAGCTCTTTTCCATGGGTCTGAATATCTGTCGTTATACCAATACCACACTGTTTGGACTACTGTGGCTGTATGGTAAGTGCTAAAGTCAGGTAGAGCAAGCCCTCCCACTTTGTCCTTCTTGAGGTATTCTCTGCTAATTCTGGGCTTCTTCCCCCTCCATATGAAGTTGGTAATCAGTTTTTCCACTTCATTGAAGAAGAATGGTGGTATTCCTGTCGGGA